AGGAAGTGCCTCTAGGAGAGTTTGGTAGCGGAAGTCTTGGTAGGAACCTTGATCATAGTGAATGTAAATGACAAAGTTGTTTGAAAGAATAGAATACAAGCAAATAAATAGTCCTAACTAGCCATGTACTCTAAGGGGTACATTCCCTTATTATAACTGTTTTACAGGCAGTACTACAGTGACTCTGACTATTGCATTTCCTTTCTTGTTACCGAGTCGCTGCTTGTAACCGTGCGTGCGGTTACGCCTGTTGACATTCCTCGATGGTGAGTCAATCGTCGGTCCAGATGGTCAACAGTCGCGACAGTTGACTTTTGCGCCTGTTGACCTTCCTGCCTTTGGTATAGGCTGATCCGACTTTTACTGCTCGCGCTGCTTCGATAGTGACTGGTGCGATGTAGCTGCACCTTCGGGAATGCTTAAGTGTATTCCCTTCATACTCCAACACTCCCCTTCATTCCTGGAGGTGTGCCATGTGGCCTTTTGCGAACGACTCCGCACAGGTCTGAGCAGTACTGAAACTTCTGACGTGGCAGCTTCTTAGTCAGAAAATCTGCTGCCATCTTGTCGGTTGGGCAGTAGGTGAGCTGGACCTTGCCCTTGTCGATTTCGTCCTTGACGAAGAAATATCGCAGGGCGATGTGCTTGGTGCGGTTGACGAAGCCGGGCTTGTGTGCGATTTTGATCGCACTCTGGTTGTCGCAGAGTAACTTGAAGGACCCGTTCATCGCCGTTTTCGTTTCCTGTAGGAGTTCCGTGAGGTAGAGTCCTTCGCGAACTGCTGCGCTTGCTGCGATGAACTCTGCTTCTGCTGACGAGAGGGCGATGAGCTCCTGTTTCTGCGAGTTCCAGGAGATGGTTCCTGCAGGCTCAAGCTTGAAAATGAAGCCTGTGCGGGACCTTCTGTTTTCTGCGTCCCCCGCGTGATCTGCGTCGACGAAGCCGGTAAGCTGCAGGTTGGCCGTTAGATTTGCCTTGTAGGTGAGGCCGACGTCGGGCGTGGAGATGAAGTACTGTAGGGCTCGACGTATGTCTGCCATGTTCTCCCCTTCAGGTCGGCGCAGGTACTGGGCGAGCTGGCTGGCAATGTAGGAGAGATCCGGGCGGCATGTGACGGCGGCGAACAGGAGGCAACCGAGCTGCTGCTGGTAGAGGCGGTAGTCTGCTGGGGAGAGTGGGGTGGTGTCCGGCTTGTGGTTGGGAGGAGGAGTGCGAAATGGGGTGGTGATGCCGATGGGAGTGATGCCGAATTTCTTGGCGAGGCTCTCGGCGTACTTCGCAGCAGAGAGGTGAATAGAATCGGCGCTCTGCGTGACGTTGAGGCCGAGGAATTGGGTGACGTCGTGGTCGATGGTTACCTCCAGCTTCTCCTGAATCTCGCGCTCGAAGCGATCGAGCAGCTCGGAGTCGTCCCCGGTGTAGAGAAGGTCGTCCACGTAGGCGGCGAGTAGAATGAAGTGGCCGCGGGATTCGAGGCGGTACATCCCTTGGTCATGGGGAAGCTGTTGGAAGCCGAGCTCGATAAGGATGGCGTGAAGGTACTGTTGCCACAGGCGCGGCGCCTGCTTGATGCCGTAGAGTGACTTCTGGAGAAGGCAGATGGTGTCGCCGTCTTCCTCGAATGCGTGCGGCTGTTCGACGTAGATGATAGCGTCGACGATCGCGTAGAGGAAGGCGTTGGAGACGTCGATTTTGCGCAGAGGGCGCTGCTTGATGGCGGCGATGCAGAGAAGAATGCGCACAGACGTGTGACGGCCGACAGGTGCGAAGGTCTGGTTGTAGTCGACGAACTGTGTTTGCTCGAACCTGCGGACGACCCACCGCGCCTTGTATTTGTCGATGGTTCCGTCCGCCAGAGTTTTGATTCTGAATACCCATTTCCCCGTGAGAATTTTTCTCCCCTTCGCGTGTCGTCGTGGGACCAGCTTCCAGGTTCCTCGTCGCTGAAGGGCAGCGACTTCTGCGGCCATGGCGGCTCTCCATTTTTCGGCATCGGGCCCACTGAGGGCTTGGCGAACAGTGGTGGGCTCCACCGGTTGTTGGTTACCCCGCACGGCGACGGCGAGGCCGAGGATGCGAAGACCAGTAAGGTTGGATTCGGCTGCGTTGGTTACTTCGACCACGTCGTCGTCGTCGTCGCCAGGAATGTCGCGAATGGTATCACGAGAAGAGTTGCGAGCCGTGTCTTCGTTTATGGGTGAGTGCATTTCCGCACTTGCGTAGTCATGTTGGGCTTGTACTGCTTCACCTGAATCAGTGTTCGTCGGGAAGAAGGTGAGTGTCGTGAGTTGCTCCGTAACGGGTACAAAGGGTGTGTTATCTGTTGCGGCCTCGTCCGGTTGTTCTCCTGCCACGTCGATGTCGTCCTCGTCATTTGCGTAGCTGTGCTGTCCCTGAAAAATGTTGTCTAGTGCGTTTTGTGCAGTGCGATGCTGCCGGTACAGTGGTAGGGTCAGTCTTTTGTAAAAGATGCAGTCACGTGAACGCGTGAGCTGGTGGGTGGCGAAGTCCAGAATTGTCCAGGCGTGGTATTCGGATTCGATTCCGAGGTGAATGCCCCAGCGGGCACGGTCTTCAAATTTTCCGGTTCGGGCAGTGTGGGGTCGGTACTGTACCATACATCCGAAGACCCGCAGCATGCGTGTGTCGAGGTGTTTTCCAGTCCGCTCCTTGAAGGGTGAACTGTTGTTGGGCAGGGCTTTGGAGGAGAGTATGTTGTGCAGTCGAACTGCATGCGCCATGGCATAGGGCCAATACTTGGTTGGCACAGCTGACTGCTTCATGAGAGCTCGCATCTTTGTCGCGAGGCTCCTGTTGGTTCGCTCGGCCAATCCCTGCTGCTCGTGAGCGTAGGGGAGCGAGATCATCCTCTTGATGCCTTTCTGTTTGCAGAGGGTTTTGAAGTCCTCCGACATGTATTCCAGGGCCCCGTCAATCTGGAAAGCTTTGACCTTGTGGTTGTCGCTCTGGTTTTCCGCCATGCTGAGCCAAACCTCGAAGCACTGGTAGGCGAGGTAACGGTCGCTGATGTTTACGGCCCAGACGAAGCGTGTGCTGGCATCGATGAAGGTGAGTGTGTACTGTTTCCCCGCCGACTCCTTTTGCCGTAAGAACCAAGAAGTCGCTGTAAACTTTCTCCAGCGGCTTGTAACGTTCAGCTCCAGGGATTTTCTCAGCGAAGGGCGTGTGACGTAGCGCGGCTGTCGGGCAGACCGAGCAATTGGGTAGATCGGTTCTTGGCTTCAGCAGTTTTCCGTCTGGCAGCAGTAGTGCGTCTTCGCAAAAACTTGTGCGTTGATGCAGTTGTTGAGTAGCTCGACTGAGGGGTGACCCATGCGTTGATGCCAGATGTCGCTGTCGGCCCGATATCCCTTGGTACGGGTGTATAGCTCCTTCTCCCGTGCTAATATCTCTTCTGCTGTTGCCCTTCTGGTTTCGTCCGCGGGTTCGTCGGGTACGGTGACGTGGACTGCTGCTGCTTGGATTGTTGCGCCGTGGTACGTCCCGCTGACTTAAGTACTTAAGTCGCGACTTAGGCGAGCTGAGCCCATCCTGGAGTCAGGAACATGTTTCCCCAGTCAATGGGACTTGTCCGGTTACCGTACAGTACTTTCAACTTCGGAGGACCCATACCCTCCAATGTCGTGACGTGACAGCGCGAGGCCAAGATCAGCCTTGCCGTCTTTTTCACCGATGGCTCCAAATCGTCTTTTTTCCAAGAGTACTCTGATCGCTCGCCCTTGAACGTCGCAAGGACAGATGCCATGGACTCTAGAAACAGACCGCGACAAAAAGTGGAACAGATAACCGCGTCGTAACGTCACGTCATACAAATACTACAATAGTACAGTGTTGACCGCTTTGAACGACCGCCAGCCGACCAAAGCAACCAATGTCGCTCGCCGAATAGTGGCGCCGGACACTTTTTGTCGCCAGATTGGCAGCAAATGTCGCGAGTGCGACGAGACGATGCCTGTTCATGGCGACAACCAAACTTCTCCAGGCTGGCATCGATTGTCGCCGGTGCGACTCGGTGATGACTGTTCAAGGCGATCACCTGAAACCATTACGCTGGCAGTTGTTGTCGCCTCGCCAGATGATGGTGACGAGGCGATCGCGCGTGCAGTATGGTGGTGAGTTCCAAGCTTGCAGCTCACGGCGCGGTTTTGACGAATCCGGAGCGACGTTTTTCTATGCGGATTTCCTGGACGATGCCCTTAACACGTGTAGTATACCCTTGACCATCAGTTCTTCAACCATCAGTGCACGAATGGGTGTCAGTGCACGGTCGTCAAGTGTGTAGATGTCATTCGGAAATGTTACGCCTGCCTCGCTCTCCTGCGAACCGCTGCGCAATGCGATTGATTTTCCTGGTCAACTTGAGCTTGCGCATACTACACGCGTGTAGTGTTCGCGCCATGTTGGGGCGCTTTCAATCTTTGTGACAGATGTGGTCAAGATGTTTGTCTTGATCGAACGGTTTGAAGTGAGAGACTTACATGGGATGGGGGCTTCAGTCGAGCCGCACAATTGCTGACGCGCTTGGTCTGAGATAAGCATTTGAGGCTCCGTAAAACATGGAGCGAGAGACTCCCAGTGCCACTCGAGCCACACAACACAACGCCTGGCCTGGAGTCCGTTTCCGCTCCAAGTCGCCTTCTTATTGGTCGAGGCATCGCATCCAGGGTACTCGTTTCCAAACGTCGTTATGGTTCTTAACGGAAGGGGGAGAGGATTAGTAGCCGTTTCCACCTGGCTGCCGATGATAGCTCTCTCCTAGTAGTAAGGCTCAAGTTCCAGTACTAACGGCTCTACCAGTACGACTGGTAGTAGTGGAAACTTTGAGTTGTTCCTCAGCCGTACTCCAAGCCCTCTGTCACATTCCGTCTCTGTAATTCGACGTTTGAGCTGGCGTTTGTTGCACAGAGTCTTGTAACAAGTGATCCGGTCGTGCTCTAACACGACAGCACGTGATTCTCCTTGCAAAGTCGTTTGCAGCCATGGAGGTTTGTGACTATATCGAGTTCGGTCTCCCCGGATCCGTGCTGTACCGGGGATTTCTCCTATCCGACCCTCCCGCTTCCGCCACCACCACTGCACCCGACGTCCGTACGGCGTCCAACAAGTCTTTGCCTTCCTCTTCTCCGCCTTCCATCATTCAGTCTGAGCGAGGGCACGTGGAATGACGTTCCGATTCGGCCTGGTGACGCAGCTTTATCGCACAGCGGCGGAGGCGGCTTTGCCGGTCCCGAACCGGCGGGTCTGGATGGGCTGATGGCGGGCGACAGCATTGCTATGGTTTGCTGCACGCCGCGTAACTCTTGGGTGCAAATTGAGGTGGCTTGTAACGAGGCGTGTCATCCGCTGCGCGTTCGCCAGGTGGACGGGTTACCCGCTCATTACAGTCACAATCTCGATTGGAACCTCGGGATCATCCCGCAGACGTGCTGCTGCCGCCAAGGCGACAACGTCGGAGCGACTCTTCAGGCTGGATCTGGCGATGCTTGTACGTCGTGCGATAAGGCATGCGACAAGTCAGCCTGTGACACGGCGACAACCGCGACCATGTGCGACGGTGCGTGCGACCAGCACGCACCGTTGGAGGTGATCGAAATCGGCCACGGGGAGGCTCGAGTGGGGCAGGTGTATCCGGTGAAGCCGCTGCTCGCGTTCCTCGTCGTCAGCCCTGATCTCAAATCCTCCTGGAAGATCGTGGCCGTCGATTCGTCGGATCCGTTGGCTGCGGCGCTGCTGGACTCGCGAATTGGTTACCCGGTTTGGTTGGAGGCGAAGCTGCGCGAAATCGTGGAGTGGCTCAAATATTTCAAATGCAATACCGTGTGTAAGTGGAGCAAGTGTCAAGGAATGGCTGCACCTCATGCGTCACCTTACTCGCCCCTTCAGTTTCTCGTCCATGCACCTCCCTGATACCCCTTGCATGCTCTCGCATGCCCTCCTCCCTGGCTCCTCTCTCCCTTCTTACCCACCCTGATATCCCCATTTCCCAACCCTCTTTCGTTGTCTCTCACCCATTATCCCTCCTGTTCCCCCCCTCTTCCACCCCCTCTCCCCTTCCGCCCCCCCCCCCCCCCTCCCCTCTCCCTCTCCCAGTTGATCCGCCCAGCACCATCGCGGGTCGTGAGAAGCCAGCGCCCTTGCATCGCACCATCACCGCCATCAGCACCGCCCATGCCGCCTGGACGCACTGCCACCGCCGCCACAGCAGCAGGAGCATTGGGAGGGCGGCGTTGCACTGAAGGATCTGAGGCAGCTCGCAGAGCAAACGGCCTCCGCTGCTCTCACCAACGCCATTTGCGAATTCGCCCGCGTGCCCTTCGCCCAACCTGCCTCCGTGCCTGCCGCCGTAGCTGATGGTGCTGCTGTTGCCGAGCCTGTGGCCCAGCAGGCTCGGAAGCAGCGCCGGTTCGGAAGGTCAGGCTCGGAGCCGGGCCGGTGTGGCATGCGAAAGAAGAAGATTTCAATTGTGATTGAGGAGCAAGCGGATGATGCAAGTGAGAGTGATGGTGGGAGTGGGGGTGGGAGAGAGAAGACGATGAAGGATGGCAAGAGTATGGTCAAGGGGAACAACAGCAGGAGCAGCAGGCGCAGAAGCAGGGAGGGTTGGCGCGTATGAAAGAGCGGTGGCAGCAGCAGTGGCAGCAGCAGGAGAAGCATCCGCAGCAGAAGGGGAAGGAGCAGCAACAGCAGCTGCAGCAGCAGCGCCAAGAGCAGGAGGGGAAACTGGAGCTGCAGCAGGTGAAGCCACAGCAGGAGGGGAGAAAGTTGACCAAGCACTGGCGATCGTCCTCTTCCTGTGCTCTTGAGATCCCCTCCGGAATGCTCCAAGACTCTCCCTCCCCCATGCATCGCTCCTCCTCTTCCCAGTTGCGTCAGCCCCTCACCCCCTCCGCTTTGACTCGCTCCGCCTCTGCTTTCCTGCTCCAACCCCTCACGCCCTCCCGTTTGCCGCCTCTCACCCCTCGCCGCCAACCACGCAGTTTCGGCCGATCACACAGCAGCATCAACCTCACTGTTGGTGAGACCAACGCTGACATTGGTGCTTGCGGTAATGAGAATCCCAACGCTATCCAGCAGCAGCAGCAGCAGCAGCAGCAGCAGCAGCAGCAGCAGCAGCAGCAGCAGCAGCAGCAGCAGCAGCAGCAGCAGCAGCAGCAGCAGCAGCAGCAGCAGCAGCAGCAGCAGCAGCAGCAGCAGCAGCAGCAGCAGCAGCAGCAGCAGCAGCAGCAGCAGCAGCAGCAGCAGCAGCGGCTGCAGCAGCAGCGTCAGCATTAGCAGCAGCAACAGCAGCAGCATCGGCATCAGCAGCAGCAACAGCATCAGCAGCGTCAGCAGCAGCCGGCGTATGACTCGATCAGCCACCCTTCACGTCCTAATCCCCCCTCCTCTCCCCGACGCTTCACCCTCAACCACTCCCCAAGCAGTCTCCTCCGCGTACCCTCCCTTGAACCCTCCCCCGGGTATGCCTTCTCCCTCTCTCTCTTCTCATCCCTCTCCCGGACCCTCTCCCATGCCCATTGAGAGAGGAGGGAGGTACGACTTCCGCCGGTCAATCTCTGCTCACACCGAACAGGAGTCGCAAAAACCACCAGCCGGGGCTGGAAAGCTGGAAAAGGCTGGCAAGTGGGGGGGCCTTGGCGCAGATCTGCTGCCTGACACCCCATCTGGAAAGCTGGGCGCGGATTTGCTGCCTGCTACACCAAAAGGGCGTGTCGGATTGCCCAAGACGCCGAGGGATGGGAAGCTGGAGCGTGCTGTACAGCCCAAGACGCCGAGGGCAGGATCTGACCTTTCTGGATCTTCAAAGGGACGCATCGGGCAGCCCAAAACACCCAACGCGCCCAAAACACCCAGCCCGCTTAAAACACCCAACCCGCCCAACATGCCCAGAACGGCCAACACGCCTGCGCCCAAAACACCCAAAACACCCAGCGCTTCCAACACGCCAAGGACGCTCCGATTGCAGAGAAGGACGGCCGAAGAAGCCAGCAGCAATAAGCGAGCAGGCCAAGACCCCCGAAGCAGGCACTGAGGTGCCCAAAACCCCTTCCAGGGCAAGAAATGAGCTTGGGTTGAATACTCCCAAACCTGCCGTTGGTGCTGCTGTTGCTGGTGGTGGTGTTGTTGATGCTGCTGCTGCTGGTGTTACTGCTGCTGCTGGTGTTACTGCTGCAAGCCCACGGGACGGAATGAATGAAGGAGCTGACTGCAGCTGCGGGTCACCAATGCAGACAGTGGGAGGTGTTGACAGTGGGAGGTGTTGACAGTGGGAGGTGTTGACAGTGGGAGGTGTTGACAGTGGGAGGTGTTGACAGTGGGAGGTGTTGACAGTGGGAGGTGTTGACAGTGGGAGGTGTTGACAGTGGGAGGTGTTGACAGTGGGAGGTGTTGACAGTGGGAGGTGTTGACAGTGGGAGGTGTTGACAGTGGGAGGTGTTGACAGTGGGAGGTGTTGACAGTGGGAGGTGTTGACAGTGGGAGGTGTTGACAGTGGGAGGTGTTGACAGTGGGAGGTGTTGACAGTGGGAGGTGTTGACAGTGGGAGGTGTTGACAGTGGGAGGTGTTGACAGTGGGAGGTGTTGACAGTGGGAGGTGTTGACAGTGGGAGGTGTTGACAGTGGGAGGTGTTGACAGTGGGAGGTGTTGACAGTGGGAGGTGTTGACAGTGGGAGGTGTTGACAGTGGGAGGTGTTGACAGTGGGAGGTGTTGACAGTGGGAGGTGTTGACAGTGGGAGGTGTTGACAGTGGGAGGTGTTGACAGTGGGAGGTGTTGACAGTGGGAGGTGTTGACAGTGGGAGGTGTTGACAGTGGGAGGTGTTGACAGTGGGAGGTGTTGACAGTGGGAGGTGTTGACAGTGGGAGGTGTTGACAGTGGGAGGTGTTGACAGTGGGAGGTGTTGACAGTGGGAGGTGTTGACAGTGGGAGGTGTTGACAGTGGGAGGTGTTGACAGTGGGAGGTGTTGACAGTGGGAGGTGTTGACAGTGGGAGGTGTTGACAGTGGGAGGTGTTGACAGTGGGAGGTGTTGACAGTGGGAGGTGTTGACAGTGGGAGGTGTTGACAGTGGGAGGTGTTGACAGTGGGAGGTGTTGACAGTGGGAGGTGTTGACAGTGGGAGGTGTTGACAGTGGGAGGTGTTGACAGTGGGAGGTGTTGACAGTGGGAGGTGTTGACAGTGGGAGGTGTTGACAGTGGGAGGTGTTGACAGTGGGAGGTGTTGACAGTGGGAGGTGTTGACAGTGGGAGGTGTTGACAGTGGGAGGTGTTGACAGTGGGAGGTGTTGACAGTGGGAGGTGTTGACAGTGGGAGGTGTTGACAGTGGGAGGTGTTGACAGTGGGAGGTGTTGACAGTGGGAGGTGTTGACAGTGGGAGGTGTTGACAGTGGGAGGTGTTGACAGTGGGAGGTGTTGACAGTGGGAGGTGTTGACAGTGGGAGGTGTTGACAGTGGGAGGTGTTGACAGTGGGAGGTGTTGACAGTGGGAGGTGTTGACAGTGGGAGGTGTTGACAGTGGGAGGTGTTGACAGTGGGAGGTGTTGACAGTGGGAGGTGTTGACAGTGGGAGGTGTTGACAGTGGGAGGTGTTGACAGTGGGAGGTGTTGACAGTGGGAGGTGTTGACAGTGGGAGGTGTTGACAGTGGTGGCGGTGAGAAGAGTAGCAGCAAGAACAGGATGCTGAAAGCTGTGCTGAAGCTGTTTGGGAAGAGCCGGGTGAAAGACCAGAGCCAGAGCCAGAGCAACAGCAGCATGCGGGGTCCGAGTGCAGATGCTTCAGCTGGCAAGGTCACGCCTTCCCCGGACTCCCCCTCTCTGAATGCGCGGCAGTCTGCTCGACCTGCTTCCGTGGGCACGTTTAGCTCTCTGGCTGCTGATGCTGATGCTGCTGCTGATGCTGATGCTGATTCTGATGCTGATGCTGATGCGGGTGCTGATTTTGTTGCTGACCTTGACGACCCTGATGCTGGTGCAGGACAGTCACTCTTCAACCTCCCGTACTCATTGAGTGGTCACCATGGCGACATTTACACTGACAGCACCATACCTCTTTCCAATGACACCGACAGCAGCATCACATGCCTTCAAGACAGCAGCACGGACGTGTTGGCTCGCTTCAAGCGTGCTCTCTCTGACAACGCCCAGCGATCCCGGCCTCCTTCTGAGGACACGCTTTATCCGGGCTGCAGCCCGTGTCTTCCCAACGGCAACAACACCGCATGTATTCCCAATGGTAGCACAGACATTTCGGCTCGCTTCAAGCGTGCGCTCTCTGACAACACCGAGCGACCCCGGCACGAGTCGCCACAGCACAGCCCATACGCTGCTGCTGCTGTTGCCTCTGCTGCTGCCCCGTCCTTTGCCTCTCCACCTCCACAGGCATATGGCATTCCCGTACATGCTACTCCCGTCTATCCTGGCAGCATCAGCGCCTACAGCAGCAGCAAGAGCGCCCACATTCCCCGAGGCAGCAGCGCCTGCAGCGGCAGTGTGTGCAGCAGCAGCAGGAGTGTGTACATTACAGGGGGCAGTAGTGGTGATATCAGCAGCGTGGGATGCAGCGACAGCATGAGCATCAGCAGTTATGGCAGCGGCAGCAGCAGCAGGAGGGTATCCCGAACTCTCACCCCCACGCACACGTCTCACCTCCAAACCTCCCCTTCAAGCATGCAGTATGGGTATCACGTGTCGGCTTCTGAGGTGCCTGAAAAGGCGTCTGCTCGAGCGCACAGGAGGAACCGGTCTCTCTCAATGCTGCAGCGAGCCTATGGCTCAGGTCACTTCCAGCAAGCATTTGGCTCTTCTAATGACCTCCAACTGCTGATGCACGAAGCACTTGAAACGAATGAGTCACAAGAAACGCAGGAAGAAGCAGCAGCAGCGACAGAAGTAGGAGGAGGAGCAGCTGCAGCAGCAGCAGCGGCAGCAGGAGGAGGAGGAGCAGCTGCAGCAGCAGCAGCAGCAGCAGTAGGAGGAGGAGCAGCTGCTGCAGCAGCAGCAGCACGGGAAGGACAAGAGGCTCAACCAAGGCCGGTGCCCCGGCTCCCTCCCAAGAGCCCCCGGCTCCCTCGCAGATCACGGGCCCGGGCTGCTGCTTTGGAATCGACTGAGAGGCACAAGCAACCGCCTCCTGCTGCTGCTGCTGCTGCTGCTGCTGCTGATTCTAATAGTGCTACTGGGAGGGATCAGTCCTTGCAAGAAAGGGAGCAGCAGCAGGAGCAGCAGGAGCAGCAGCAGCAGCAGCAGCAGCGGGAGCAGCAGCAGCAGCAGCAGCAGCAGCAGCAGCGGGAGCAGCAGCAGCAGGAGGAGAAGGGAGAAGAGGGAGGAGAGCCGCTGCTACAGCTGAAGCTGCCTCTGAAGCTGCAAGAGCGGTTGCAGCAGGCAGCACGCGAGCACAAGTTGCAGCAGGCGGCAGAAAGGCAGGCGCTGTGGCAGGCGGCAGAAGGGCAGGAAGAGTGGCATGGGGGTTATGAGGCGGTGAGAGCCTCGGCAGCAGCGCACCTGGGCCCCCTCATTTGCCTCACCCCGCCCTGCCCTTCCCCCGTTGATGCCTCACCTTCCCCAGTTGATGCCTCCCATTCCCCAGTAAACGCCTCCCCTTCCCCAGTTACCACCTCCCCTTGGCCTCTTGGCAGCAGTAGCAGCAGTAGCAGAAACAGCAGCAGCAGAGATATAAAAGCGTCAGCTGCGGCTGCTGCTGATGCCGATGCTGCTCTCACTGCGGCCGCAGCTGTTGTCTCAGGGACAGTAGGAACTTTAAAGAACAGTTTCGAGCCGTCTCAGAGCCCGGTTACGGAGGGAAAAGAGGAGGAGGAGGAAGAAGAATGCACCCGCAAGTACTATGTGGGAGCAGGAGGAGAAGAAGACTCAATTTCTTGGGTAGATTCAAGCTACACCACCTTTTCTCATCCCGGTGACACACAGTACTCCAATAACGAATGTTCTTATATTGGGGAGGGCGGTGCAACTGGTTGTTCTGGGAGCGAGGAGTATGGCGGCGTTGGGTGGGCTTATAACGAAGCCCTTGCTGCGTGTGTGTATGGGGATGATCCTTCATCAAATACTCCAAGGGAAAACACATTCAGTGGGGGAGAAGGGAGCATGGGGAGCGGCTATGGCAGGAGAGCACACAGGAGCAGCAGCATGGAAAGGAGTATCCAGAGCATGGGTTGTACGACCATCTTTCCTCAAAACCAAGATGGCAGGCGATTGCGACACCGCAGGAGTTTTTCTGTGGCATCTGAACGCACCTTCAAACACGCCTTTGAACCGACCTTTGTTCCGACCCTGCGGCGCCGTGACAGTGTGGGGAGCGTGGGGAGTGTGAGCAGCGCAAACTTGGTGTGTGAGCAGATCCTGAGTGTGTGTGACGTCTCACATGTGCCCATCATTCTCTCCTCCCACCTGGGCAGCCCAGGGTGGACTAGACGGGCAGCTGCTGCAGAGAGGTTTGATGCTTGTTCTGCAGGCAGTGGTGATGGGTATGCAACAGCCCTCCCTGCTGCACCCCAGCTGCCAAGGAGACCAGCAGCACCTGGAGGAAGTGCGTCTAGGAGGTTCCACTGCACCTCCAGCTGCCCTGAAATTAAGGGCATGCCATTCGGCATTGGACAGTGGCAAGCTTCACCAGCAGCAGCAGTAGCAGCAGCAGCAGGAGAGGTGGAAGAAACATCAGCAACAGAAGAAGCAGCAGATGAAGTGGAGGGAGGGAAGGAGGGGCAGGAGTCACTTGAGTCTCGCTTGAGGCGGTGGCATGAGAGCATGGGTGCTGCTACCTCTTCCCACTCCCTGCCCCATGCCTCTCGCCACGCCTCCCGCCCTGCCTCTCGCCCCGCCTCCCCCTCGCCACCCCCCCCTGAAGGGCTCTTTGTTCCCGGCCTGCCCCACTGGACCAAGCGGTCGCTCCCTCGCTCGCTGCGCATCTCCCGCTCGCTGCTCTCCTTTCAAGAGCGCGCGCTGCTGGAGCACCGCCAGGAAACCGCCCTCCTGCTGGGCATGGCTGGTCGAAAGGACGGGGAAAACGAGCTATGGAGTGAGATTCGTGGTGAGAGCAACAAGGGGAGCATTGAGGAGAGTAATGAGAAGAGACAAGCGAGGAGAAGCGTGCGAGTGAAAAGTGAAAGCTCGCTGCTGTCAGCAGCAGCGGCGGCCGTGGCAGCACCAGTGTCCCCTGGAGAGTCGATCCGGGCGGCGGTGGCAGTCTATTCCGCGTCGAGAGAATTCTGGCGGCCCCCCTCCACCCCCAAGCCTGTGAAGCAAGCCAAGGTGTGCCTCCCCAGGTACTCCCCCCCTGTGCCGCCCATCGGCCTCGAGAAGCTGATGGAGGGTGGGACTGGCGCAGGTGGGACTGGTGGGTTTGCTGGCTTTGCTGGGTTTGGTGGGCTTGGTGGGTGGGGGTTTGGTGCAGGCTGGTGGGGTGCGGTAGAGGGAGCGGGGGAGGCGGGGAAGGAGGGGAAGGAGGGGGCGAGTGAGGCTGGGTGGCTGGGTTTGGTGGATGCGGCAAGGGAAATGATGTGGGAGGGAGGAGGGGATGGAGGTGGGGAGGGGGTGAAGGAGGAGGAGAATGAAGGGATTTTGGGTGCACCTACAGGAAAGGAGGATATGGGAGACCAGGAAGAAGGGGGAGAGGCAGTGGAAGGAGAAGAGAAGGGGTTGACTGTAGAGGAGGAAAAACTTTTTGGTAAAGCGTGTGAGGGAGATAGTGGGGGAATCGCAGGAGAGGGAGGAGCAATAGGGGGCGGGTGACATAAGATCCTAGAAGTCAGGGGAAAAGAAAGCAGTCACACCTATACGAGCAGTCAAAAGTGTTGGTTTGAAGTGTTGTACAGATCTTGTTGTATTTATTGCCTTGCACTATTATTAAAGCGCCGGTGAATGTTCATTAGCAGGGTAAAGAGTTGATAATCATGATACAAGAAATTCAACATCATAATACCGTATGAATTGAAGTGGTCAAATGAGATTCAATGCTTGTACAAGTATTAGATTGAGAAAGCTTGCTTCTGTCGCAATTGGCATCGTTCTCATTACAATGGGTTCAAGTACAACAGTTCCTAGCAGTTATACTAATATACTATCACATCCAAAATGTCTAAGAACTACTACTCTCATAAGCTGACTAGCCTGGGGAGGGTGGGTGGGAATTGAACTTGAGCGATTGTAAAATGAGAGACGTGGGTGGGGGAAGAATGACCCCAGCCCACATTATATATTCGGAGAAGGCGAATACCGCGCTTCGACGATGCACAAATTGCGTTACAGTCAGCTTCGCTTTCACAATACGCAAATTTGAAAGCAATAAAACGCTTAAAATTTTTGTATATTGAGAAAGCTTGCTTCTGTCGCAATTGGCATCGTTCTCATTACAATGGGTGACGCTGAGACATGTGCAAGGGTGCCTGACGGTGGCGCTTGAGGGCTCTGGAATGTTGTGCTGGTGATGGCGCGTGAGCCGTTGATTGGAGGTTGCGAGAGGCATCAATCAAACGATCGGCAGTGGGGGTCACTTACATTTCCTTCGCCATTTCACTGCGCCATCGGCCTAGTTGTTTGAAGAGCCGATCCTCAATTCCTGCGTTTGCCGCTACAGTTGCCGCTCCTTTGCGAAAAGAGTGTGTGCCGAGCGCGTGGTCGCCGAGTCCGATGGCATGAAAAGCTTCCTTGCACCAGTTGCGTATTGTGGTATACGATGGTGGTTTGACTGGGAGTGAGTTGCTCGTGGCCGAACCAAACACCCGGATTAATGGCCCTGGAGTGGCAGGACCATATCGTGCTAGCTGGATGAAGTGCTTCGTGCATCGGACGGGGCAGAAAGGTCCCTGGCTTGCGGCAATGGGCACCCATGAGCCCTTCCCTTCTTGGTCGGTCTTCGAGCGCGGGATGAGTAACCACATGGCATCGTTTTCGAACTGAATATCGTTCCAGCAGATGGCGGCGAGATCCGAATACCGAAGGAAGCCGGCGTACATGAGAAGTGGTATGAGTCCTTTTTGAAAGGTGGATGGGTCGTCCGAGCTAATGAAGTGTGCGGCCATGGAGTGCACTTGGTGAAGAGACACTGGTTCTTTGGTCCGGTGGGGTCGCGGGCAGTGGCGCTTGGCAAATTCTCGGACTTGAGATGTCATGGGGCCGATGGTAGGGCAGGCGGCTCCAATCATGCGATGGGCAAAACCAACCGCCGAGCAAGTGAGTTGCACCACCGAGAATGTGGCCTGGTGGCGAATGGCGTAGACGAGGTACAGCGCGAGTGTCATATCTCGTGCGGGCAGGTACTGTAGTTTAGTCTTGATGCAGAATGAGCGGAACTGCTGCCAGTATGGATCGTAAGTCTTGATCGTAGATTCCGCACGCGTTTTCAGCATCATTGTGAGCAATTGGCTCTGCAGCGAGCGGAGTAATCCTGAAGCGATTAGAGAGGATGCAAGCAAAATTGTTAACGGAAGGAGATGCGCAAGGACATCATCATGCTATGTGGTAGGCCGGAGCCCGAGAATGCCGTGGTGTGCGTGCCTGGTGCGAGGCATTGACTCCCGTGAGTAAGTTTCAGGCAATCACGGATCGGCGAGGCCCAGGCGGGTGGCGAAGGTTGGAGGAGTGGCCACCAACTAGCCCCGAGCCAGAAGGGAACAATGAGCGTCAGTGAGGCTGATGTCCTTTGTGCGTGGTGAAGGACTGCCGGGATCAGCTGTGGTGGTGGAAAGGCGAAACCATGTTCGTCAGCCCAGGATGTTGCGAAGGCGTTGATCGCTAGGGCCTTGGGATGTGGGTGTTCGCAGCAGAATCGGGGGAGCTTGGCATTCGTAGCACTGGCGAAGAGATCTATGGAGTGCGGCCCCCAACGTCGCTCGAGAAGGTTAAACCATGGGGTCTTCAAGGTGTAGTCGTCTCGGTCGAGAGTCTTCGAGAGCTCATCCGCGAGCGTGTTAAGCTCGCGAGGGATCCATTCCATGATCAAGCGAATGCGACGGGTCATGCAGGTGCGAATGATGGCTTTGCATGTGGTGGTGAGTCAGCTGTTGCGCGATCCACCCTTTTTTTTTTTTTTTTTTTTTTAGAATAAAGAATACGCCCTGGTTGTCGACGCGCACGAGCACATGCTTGTTCTGGATGAAGCTTGTGAAAGTTTGCAGTGCCCAGAGCACCCCTTCGAGCTCACGACGAGTACTGGACGTGCCAAGTAGTTCCGGGGGCATGTTCGCGCAGGCCTTATGAGTATTTGTGGAGAACGTGTCGAGTGTGGCCCCCCAGCTGTGCGCGCTGGCGTCGACATGAATGATTGCGTCGTAGCTACCGCGAACATGAAATGGGGCTCCATTGAAGTGGTCGAACTCGATTGACCAGAACTCCAACTCTTCGCAAGCACTCGGGGGTAGTAACAACCTGCTGTTCCATGAAGGCGCATCATCGATGGTTTGTAGTAATGCGTGACTGAATGCTCGCGCTGTCGCCCCAAGGGCAAGGTTCATGGAGGCGAGCATGCCTGTGATACGTGCGACTTGCCGTACTGGGACTTTGTGCTGTGCACGTCCTGCGGCCAATAATGAAGCGATGGTAGATTGCAGGACGCTTCGTCGCTCCGTGCCGACAGAAAATTGTCCCCGCTGGGTATCGAGCTCCAATCCTAAGAATCTTAGCTGCTGAGTAGGATGGAGATGAGACTTTTTTGCATTGATCACGAGGCCCGCTTCTCTTAGGTCCGTGATCGTGCGGGTGCAGACATCTCGAGCCTCGGCTTCTGTGTGGCACAGAAAGAGAATGTCGTCCACGTATGGAATAACGCGGACCCCTGTTGCTCGCCATCGACGTGCCAACTGCTTGATCAATTGAGTAAAGACGAAAGGCGCCGTCGCTAGTCCGAACGGGAGTGATCTGAAACAGTATGAATGCCCCTCGAACTGAAAACCCAAGAATTTCCAGCAGGACGCGTGGATGTCAACGTGGTGGTAACCCGACTTGAGATCAATTGAAAACATCCAATCCCCCGGATGTGCAAGTTCCGCCACGCGAGGGAGTCCTTCGTACTTGAACTTCGGAATGCACAGCTCGTTATTAACTTTACGTAGATCTAGGATGAGGCGACACTTGTCTCGCTGCTCGACGACGTTGAGGGGACTAATGCATGCGAGCTCCGATGCTGGCACCTCGATTGCTGCGCCGGTTTGAAGGAGATCTATGATGGCTGATCGCGTAAAATCCATGTGAGCATAGGTTCCAGCATGATTGGAGCACTGAAATGGTTGTGGCGGTCCTTGTTTCCATGGCATCCAGTAGCCCCGTTCAATAATTGATAAGACAAGGCTGCTCGTACACCAACTTCGCCACCAAGCCAATGCGGATCGCAAGCGCCCCCGCATGATGGAAATTGTCCTATCCGTCACTGCGTATTCGAAAGGGTGATCTTGTTGCCCCAAGGCATGCATCGAAAGGCCTGCACATGGCAGTATACCAGAAAGCAATACATAACAGTTAGTTTTTTTTTTTTTTTTTTTTTTTTTTTTTTTTTTTTTTTTTTTTTTTCATCCGAGCAAGCGTTGACGCTCGAGTGGGATAACCCTCTTTTCAAGCACGGAACCATGGATTTTTTTTTTTTTTTTTAATTACTTTCTTCATGGCTCCCATGAAAGTTTGTTTCCAAGAACTCATAGACTTCCTTTGCTAGCACTCCCCCAGTCCGTGGTTATATATATATATTTATATATCTGTCTCTCTCTCTCTCTCTCTCTCTCTCTCTCTCTCTCTCTCTCTCTCTCTCTCTCTCTCTCTCTCTCTCTCTCTCTCTCTCTCTCTCTCTCTCTCTCTCTCTCTCTCTCTCTCTCTCTCTCTCTCTATCTCTCTCTCTCTTCGCCAATACATTATGCGCCCGCTCATGGCAAGGTCGTTTGTACTTTGGTTCTTTATATTATTGTCATGATATTAAGTTTCTTGAGGCTTCAATTGCCTCCCTCAATAAGCCTCCTTGAGGCGTGGGGTGTTGAAACTGAAGAGCAACCAAGAGATCCTTGAGTAAGGCTTCTCTTCACTCTCACAACAAGTGCACAACAAAAATTATATAATTAGAAAGAGCAACTCCATAGATCTTATCGAGAACTTCTAGGCAAGTGCCCTTAGACCCTCAATGGTCTATTCCCCTTAGAACTTTTTCACAGCAAAAAATAAACGGAAAAGATCAACTTCATGATGCTCTAGAGAGCTTCTAGGCAAACGCCTTAGACCCCAAATGGTCTTTCCCCCCAAGGGCTAGCCAACCGGCAATAAAAAACAGCCCAAGGGCACGGCCAATAGCCTTCGTGCGGTTATGCGCCCCGTCGAGTTTACACCACCGGTGCGGGTCCGTGAGGACCGTGCCCACCAGCAGGGCATGCGTTGGCAGTGTGGCCTGGCTGGCCGCAGCGGAAACAGGTGCCGCGGAAGCCCCTAGCGTCGCAGCCAGGGGTCGTGCCGAATTTGCCGCCAAACCCCGTGGGACCGCGGCCTCCAAGGGAAGAACCGCGACCGTAGGAGCCTTGGGCGCGGTTCATTGCTGCCACATCCGCGAGCGCCTGCTTGAAAGGGCGCGAAGTCAGCACACTTTTCTGCTGGTACAGCTTGAAGCGGTGCGCCGTCTTGAAGTCGGAGGCGTCGGCGACTTGAAGGAGTTGGAAGCGATCGGCGATGAGCGCGTACGCCTCTTCGAAGAGCTCGAGAGCGCCAGCGGTGTCGCCGTGGCGTATCTTGTGCTCCGAGTGCTTCAGGTACGCGCGCAGGTC